TAATTCGGAGGAGGACTCACTATCACTTCAAGTTGATCTAGATAGGGTTTGGAAATTGTCAAATGATTGGCAAATGCAGTTTAATGCTGATAAATGTAAAGTTCTGAGGCTAGGAAATGATGATAGAGTTACAAGATACGAGCTAGATGGTGTTGAGATTGCGAAGTCGGATTGCGAAAGGGATCTGGGAGTTATGATTAGTAAGAATTTAAAACAAAAGGATCAATGCATGAATGTTCGTAATAAGGCGAATAGGACACTGGGATTTATTAATCGAAGCGTTAGTAACAAGACACCTGGTGTGGTTCTTAAGCTATATCTTGCTCTGGTTAGGCCCCATTTAGATTATGCAGTTCAGTTTTGGTCGCCGTATTATAGAATGGATATAAATTCACTTGAACGTGTCCAACGTAGGATGACTAAGTTAATTCCCCAAATTAGAAATCTTTCATATGACGAAAGATTAACAAAGCTTAAGTTGCATTCACTGGAAAGGCGAAGAGTTAGGGGTGACTTGATAGAGGTTTACAAGTGGATGAATGGACATAACAGGGGGGATATTAATAGGGTATTAAAAATATCAACACAAGACAGAACACGAAACAATGGGTATAAATTGGATAAGTTTAGATTTAGGAAAGACTTGGGTAAATACTGGTTCAGTAACAGGGTTGTTGATTTGTGGAACCAATTGCCGCGTAAAATTGTGGAGGTGGGGTCCCTCGATTGTTTCAAGCGCGGGTTGGACATGTATATGAGTGGGTTTGGGTGGTTATAAATAAGAGCTGCCTCGTATGGGCCAATAGGCCTTCTGCAGTTGCCTTTATTCTTATGTTCTTATGTACTGTTGCTGATGCTTTTGTTGTTACTGTGGCGGGGTCCTACCATTGTTACTATTGCTGCAGTGTTTACTGGTGCTTCTGTTGTTACTGTTGCTGCTGTTGTAACTGTTGTTTCTATTGTTGCTGTTGTAACTGTGGTTTCTGTTGCTGCTGTTGTTACTGTTGATACTGTTATTACGGTTGCTGCGGTTATTTCTGTTGTTACTGTTGCTGCTGTTGTTACTGCGGCTGCTAATGTTGCTGATATTGTTACTGGTGTTGCTGTTGTTACTGATGCTTGTGCTACTGTTGTTACTGTTGCTGATGCTGCTGTTGTTAATGTCTCTGCTGTTGTTATTGTTGCTGCTGTTGTTACTGTTGTTACTGGTGCTGCTGGTGTTACTGTTGTTGCAGTTGCTGCTGTTGTTACTGTTGCAGCTATTGTTACTGTTGTGGTAGTTGTTACTGGTGCTACTGTTGTCATTGTTGCTGCTGTTGTTACTGTTGTTATTGTTGCTGCTGTTGTTACTGTTGTTACTGTTGCTGATGTTGTTACTGTTGTTACTGATGCTGCTGTTGTTACTGTGGTTACTGTTACTGGTGCTGGTGTTGTTACTGTTACTGTTGCTGCTGCTGTTACTGTTGCTCTTGTTGTTACTGTTGCTGGTGCTGCTGTTGTTACTGTTGCTGTTGTTGTTACTGTGTTTACTGGTGCTGGTGATGTTACTGTTGCTGGTCCTGCTGTTGTTGCTGATGTTACTGTTGCTGCTGTTGTTACTGTAGCTGGTGCTGTTGTTGTTACTGTTATTACTGTTGCTGCTTTTGTTACTGCTGTTGCTGTTGTTGCTGTTTATACTGTTGATAACGTTATTACTGTTGCTGCTGTTGTTACTGTTGCTGCGTCTGTTAATGTTCTTACTGTTGCTGCTGTTGCTACTGTTGTTAATGTTGTTACTGTTGTTGCTGCGTCTGTTAATGTTCTTACTGTTGCTGCTGTTGCTACTGTTGTTACTGTTATTACTATTGCTGCTGTTGTTACTGTTGTTACTGTTGCTGCTGTTATTATTGTTGTTACTGTTGTTACTGTTGCTGCTGTTGTTACTGTTGCTGCGGTTTTGTTGTTGTTACTGTTGCTGTTGTTGTTACTGTTGCTTGTGCTACTGTTGTTACTCTGGCTGATGCTGCTGTTGTTAATGTTTCTGCTGTTGTTAATGTTTCTGCTGTTGTTATTGTTGCTGCTGTTGTTACTGTTGTTACTGGTGCTGCTGGTGTTACTGTTGTTGCAGTTGCTGCTGTTGTTACTGTTGCAGCTGTTGTTACTGCTGTGGTAGTTGTTACTGGTGCTGCTGTTGTCATTGTTGCTTCTGATGTTACTGTTGTTTCTGTTGTTGCTGTTGTTACCGTTAATACTGTTGCCAATGTGACTGGTGCTGCTGTTGTTACTGTTGTTATTGTTGCTGCTGTTGTTACTGTTGCTGATGTTGTTACTGTTGTTACTGATGCTGCTGTTGTTACTGTGGTTACTGTTACTGGTGCTGGTGTTGTTACTGTTACTGTTGCTGCTGCTGTTACTGTTGCTCCTATTGTTACTGTTGCTGGTGCTGCTGTTGTTACTGTTGTTCTGTTGCTGTTGTTGTTACTGTGTTTACTGTTACTGGTGCTGGTGATGTTACTGTTGCTGGTCCTGCTGTTGCTGCTGATGTTACTGTTGCTGTTGTTGTTACTGTTATTACTCTTGCTGCTTTTGTTACTGCGGCTGCTGTTGCTGCTTTTGTTACTGCTGTTGCTGTTGCTGCTGTTTATACTGTTGATCCCGTTATTACTGTTGCTGCTGTCGTTGATGTTGTTACTGTTACTGCTGTTTTTTTCTTTTTGTTGCAGCGTCTGTTAATGTTCTTACTGTTGCTGCTGTTGCTACTGTTGTTACTGTTATTACTATTGCTGCTGTTGTTACTGTTGTTACTGTTGCTGCTGTTATTATTGTTGTTACTGTTGTTACTGTTGCTGCTGTTGTTACTGTTGCTGCTGTTTTGTTGTTACTGTTGTTATTATTACTGCTGTTGTTATGGTTGATACTGTTGTTGCTGTTGTTACTGTTGCTGGTGTTGTAACTGTTGCTGCTGTTGTTGTAGCTGGTGTAGTTACTGTTGCTGGTGCTGCAGTTCTTACGGTTACTGGTGTTGTTACTGTTGCTGGTGCTGTTGTTGTTACTGTTTTCGCGGTTGTTACTGTTCCTGCTGTTGTTAATGTTGTTATGTTGTTGCTGCTGTTACTGTTGCTGCTGTTGTTAATGTTCCTCCTGTTGTTACTGTTGTTGCTGCTATTGCTTGTGCTGCTAACTGTTGTGCTTGAAGCGTTACTGCTTGTGCTGCAACTTGTGCTACTGACTGTGGTGCTTGTAGTGATACTGCTTGTGCTGCTGACTGTGATGCTTGTAGTGCTACTTGTGCTACTGACTATGGTGCTTGTAGTGTTACTGCTTGTGCTGCTGACTGTGATGTTTTTAGTGCTACTGCTTGTGTTGCATATTGTGAAGCTTATAGAGCTACTGCTTGTGATAATGACTGTAGTGCTAACAGTGCTACTGCCCTTGCTGCTGACTGTGGTGCTTGTACTGTTATTGCTTGTGCTTCTGATTGTGATGCTTGTAGAGCTACTGCTTGCGCTGCTGACTGTGATGCTTGTAGTGTCACTACTTGTCCTGCTGACTGTAATGCTTTTAGTGGTATTGCTTGTGCTGCTGACTGTGATGCTTGTAGTGCTACTGCTTGTGCTGCTGACTGTGGTGCTTGTAGAGCTACTCCTTGAGCTGCTGACCGTGGTTTTTTTAGTGCTGCTGCCTGTGTTGCTGAGTGTGGTGCTTGTATTGCAGCTGCTTGTGCTACTGGCTATGATGTTTGTTGAGTTACTGCTTGAGCTGCTGACTTCGGTGATGTAGTGCTGCTGGTTGTGCTGCTGACTGTGATGATTGTAGTGCTACTGCTTGTGCAGCTGACTGTGATGCTTGTAGTGCTGCTGCTTATGCTGCTGACTGTGGTTCTTGTTGTGTTACTGCTTGCGCTGCTGACTGTGGTGCTTTTAGTGCTGTTGTTTGTGCTGCTGACTGTGGTGCTTGTAGAGCTACTGCTTGTGCTGCTGTCTGTAATGCTTGCAGTGTTACTACTTGTGCTGCTGACAGTTATGCTTGTGATGCTGCTGCATGTGCTGCTGACTGTCGTGATTGTAGTGTTACTGCTTGTGATGCTAAACTGAGATGCTTGTAGTGATACTGCTTGTGCTGCTGACTGTGGTGCTTGTAGTGCTACTGCATGTGCTGCTGACTGTGATGCTTGTAGTGCTCCTGCTTGTTATGCTGACTGTGATGCTTGTAGTGCTACTGTTTGTGCTGCTGACTGTAGTACTTTTTGTGTTACTGCTTGCGCAGTGACTGAGGTGCTTGTAGTGCTGCTACTTGTGCTGCTGACTGTGGTGAATGTAGTGTTACTGCTTGTGCTGGTGACTGTGATGCTTGTAGAGCTACTGCTTGTACTGTTGTCTGTAATGCTTATAGTGTTACTGCTTGTGCTGCTGACATTGATGCTTGTAGTGCTGCTGCTTGTGCTGCTGACTGTCGTGCTTGTAGTGTTACTGCTTGTGATGCTAACTGAGATGCTTGTAGTGATACTGCTTGTGCTGCTGACTGTGGTGGTTGTAGAGATACTCTTTGTGCTGCTGACTGTGGTGCTTGTTGTGCTAATGCTTGTGCTGCTGACTGTGGTGCTTGTTGTGCTACTGCTTGTGCTGCTGACTGTGATGCTTGAAGTGTTCCTGCTTGTAGTGCTACTGCTTGTGCTGCTGACTGTGGTGCTTGTAGTGCTGCTGCTTGTTATGCTGACTGTGTTACTTGTAGTACTACTGCTTGTGCTGCTGACTGTGGTGCTTGTGGTGTTACTGCTTTTGCTGCTGACTGTGATGTTTGTTGAGCTACTGCTTGTGCTGCTGACTGTGATACTTGTAGTGTTACTGCTTGTGCTCATGTCTGTGATGTTTGTAGTGCTACTGCTTGTGCTGCTGATTGTGGTGCTTGTAGTACTATTGCTTGTGCTGGTGTCTCTGGTGCTTGAATTGCTACTGCTTGTGCTGCCGACTGTGATGCTTGTAGTGTTACTACTTGTGCTGCTGAATGTGATGCTTGTGGTGCTACTGCTTAGGTGCTACTGCATGTGCTGCTGGCTGTGATACTTGTAGTGTTACTGCTTGTGATGCTGACTGTGGTACTTGTAATACTGCCGCATGTGCTGCTGACTGTGGTGCTTGTAGTGATTCTGATTGGGCTGCGACTGTGGTGCTTTTAGTGCTGCTGACTGTGGTGCTTGTAGTACTGATGCTTGTGCCGCTGACTATGGTGCTTGTAGTGTTTCTGCGTGTGGTGCTGACTGTGATGCTTGTAGAGCTACTGCATGTGCTGCTGACTGTGGGTCTTGTAGTGCTGCTACTTGAGCTGCGGACTTTGGTGCTTGAAGTGCTACTGCGTGTGCTGCTGACTGTGATGCTTGTAGAGCTACTGCTTGTGCTACTGATTTTTATGCTTGTAGTGCTGCTGCTTGTGCTGCTGACTCTGATGCTTGATGTTCTACTGCTCGTGATGCTGACTGTTGTGCTTGCAGTGCTACTGCCTGTGCTGCTGACTCTGGTGCTTGTAGTCTTACTGCTTGCGCTGCTGACAATGGCGCTTGTAGAGCTTCTGCTTGTGCCTTACTCTTTGATGCTTATAGAGCTTCTGCTTCTGCTGCTGACTATGGTGTTGACTGTTTTGCTTGTACTGTTACTGCTTGTGCTGCTAACTGTGATGCTTGTAGATGTACTGCTTGCGATACTAACTGTGGGGTGCTTGTAGTGTTACTGATTGTGCTACTGACAGTGATGCTTGTAGAGCTTCTGCTTGTGCTGCTGACTGTGTTGCTGACTGTGGTGCTTGTAGTGTTACTGCTTGTGCTGCTGACTGTGATGGTTGTTGAGCTACCGTTATGCTGCTGACTATGGTGCTTGTAGTCTTACTGCTTGTGCTGCTAACTGTGATGCTTGTAGACCTTCTGCTTATGCTGCTGACTGTGGTGCTTATAAAGCTACTGCTTGTGTTGCTGACTCTGGTCCTTCTAGTGCTACAGCTTGTGCTGCTGACTATGGTGCTTGAAGTACTGTTGCTTGTGCTGCTGACTTTGGTGCTTGTAGTGTTACTGATTGTGCTGCAGACTGTGATGCTTGAAGTGCTGCTGACTGTGATGCTTCTAGTTCTACTGCCTGTGCTGCTGACTGCGACTCTTCTAGTGTTACTACTTGTGCTGCTGACAGTGATGCTTTGCAGAGCTACTGCTTGTGCTGCTGACTGTGATACTTGTAGAGTTACTGCTTGTGCTCCGGACTGTGATGTTTGTAGTACTTCTGCTTGTGCTGCTGACTGCGGTGATTGTAGTGCTGCTGATTGTGCTGTTGACTGTGGTGCTTGAAGTGGTACTGCTTGTGCTGCTGTCTGTGATGCTTGTAGTGTTATTGTTTGTGCTGTTAAATGTGATGCTTGTAGTACTACTGATTGTAGTGCTACTGCTCGTGATGCTGATTGTTGTGCTTGCAGTGCTACTGCCTGAGCTGCTGACTGTGGTGCATGTAGTGTTACTGATTGTGCTGCTGAGTATGGTGCTTGTAGAGCTTCTGCTTGTGCAGCTGACTGTGATGCTTCTAGTGCTACTGCTTGTGTTGCTGACTGTGGTCCTTCTAGTGTTTCTGCTTGTGCTGCAGACTGTGATGCTTGTAGTGCTGCTGCATGTGCTGCTCACTTTGATACTTGTAGAGCTACTGTTCGTGATACTGACTGTGGTGCTTGTAGTGCTACTGCATATGCTGCTGACTGTGGGGCTTGTAGAATTACAGCTTGTGCTGCTGACTGTGATGTTTGTAGAGCTACTGTTTGTGCAGCTGACTTTGATACTTGTAGTGTTACTGCTTGTGCTCCTGACTGGGATGCTTGTAGTGCTAATGCTTGTGCTGATGACTGCAGTAATTGTAATGCTGCTGCTTGTACTGCTGACTGTAATGCTTGTAGTGTTACTGCTTGTTCTGCTGACTCTGATGCTTGTAGTGCACTGCTTGTGCTGCTGATTGTAGTGCCTATAGTACTATGCTTGTGTTGCTGACTGTGGTGCTTGAAGTGATTCTGTTTGTGCTGCTGACTGTGATGCTTGTAGTGTTACTGCTTGTGCTGCTGAATGCTTGTGCTTGCTGACTGTGATGCTTGTAGTGCTAATGATTGTGCTGCTGACTGTGGTGCTTGTAGTAATGCCGCTTGTGCTGCTGAATGTGGTGCTTGTAGTGATTCTGATTGTTCTGCTGACTGTGGGGCTTGTAGTGCTGCTGATTGTGGTGCTTGTAGTGTTACTGCTTGTGCTGCTGACTGTGATGCTTGTAGTGTTACTGCTTGTCCTGCTGACTGTTATGCTTAAAGTACTGCTCCTTGTGCTGCTGACTGTGATGCTTGTAGTACTACTGCTTGTGCTGCTGACTGTGGTGCTTGTAGTACTGATGCTTGTGCTGCTGACTGTGTTGCTTGTAGTGCTACTGCTTGTATTGCTGACTGTGGTGCTTGTAGTGTAGCTGCTTGTGCCGCTGACTGTGGTGCTTGTAGTGCTGCTGCTTGTGCTGCTGACTGTGATGCTCGTAGAGCTATTGCATGTGCTGCTGACTGTGGTGCTTGTAGTGCAGCTGCTTGTGCTGCTGATTGTGGTGCTTGTAGTACTATTGCTTGTGCTGCTGACTGTGGTGCTTGAAGTGCTACAGCTTGTACTGCTGACTGTGATGCTTGTAGCGTTACTGCTTGTGGTGCTGAATGTGATGCTTGTAGTGCTACTGCTTGTGCTGCTAATTGTGATGTTTGTAGTGCTACTGCTTGTGCTGCCGACTGTGGTGCTTGAAGTTCTGCTGCTCGTAATGCTGATTGTGGTGCTTGTAGTGATACTGCTTATACTGCTGACTGTGGGCTTGTGGTGTTACTGCTTGTGCTGCTGACTGTGATGTTTGTAGAGCTACTGCTTGTGCTGCTGACTGTGATACTTGTAGTGTTACTGCTTTTGCTCCTGACTGGGATGCTTGTAGTGCTAATGCTTGTGCTGATGACTGTGGTGCCTGTAGTGCTGCTGACTGTGATGCTTGTAGAGTTACTGCTTGTGCTCCTGTCTGTGATGCTTGTAATGTTTCTGCTTGTGCTGCTGACTGCGGTGATTGTACTGCTGCTGCTTGTACTGCTGACTTTGATGCTTGTAGTGTTACTGCTTGTTCTGATGTTTCTGGTGCTTGTAGTGCACTGCTTGTGCTGCTGATTGTGGTGTTTGTAGTACTATGCTTGTGCTGCTGACTATGGTGCTTGAAGTGCTACTGCATGTGCTGCTGACTGTGATGCTTGTAGTGTTAATGCTTGTGCTGCTGAATACTTGTGCTTGTTACTGTGATGCTTGTAGTTCTAATGATTGTGCTGCTCACTGTGGTGCTTGTAGTACTGCCGCTTGTGCTGCTGACTGTGGTGCTTGTTGTGATTCTGATTGTTCTGCTGCCTGTGGTGCTTGTAGTGCTGCTGCTTGTTCTGCTGATTGTGGTGCTTGTAGTGTTACTGCTTGTGCTGCTGACGGTGGTGCTTGTAGTGTTACTGCTTGTGCTGCTGATTGTGATGCTTGTAGTGCTGCTGCTGCTTGTAGTGTTACTGATTGTGCTGCTGAATGTGATGCTTGTACAGCTGCTGCTTGTAGTGCTACTGCTTGTGCAGCTGACTGTGGTGCTTGAAGTTCTGCTGCTTGTGCTGCTGTCTGTGGTGCTTGTAGTGTTACTGCTTGTGCTGCTGACTGTGGTGCTTAAAGTTCTGATGCTTGTACTGCTGACTGTGGTGCTTATAGTGCTACAGCTTTTGCTGCTGACTTTGAGGCATGTGGTGTTACTGCTTGTGCTGCGGACTGTGATGCTTGTAGAGCTACGGCTTTTTCTGCTAACTGTGATACTTGTAGTGTTACTGCTTGTGCTCCTGACTGTGATTCTTGTAATGCTACTGCTTGTGCAGCTGACTGTGGTGATTGAAGTGCTGTTGCTTGTGCTTCTGACTGTGATGCTTGTAGTGTTTCTGCTTGTGATGCTTGTAGTGCTACTACTTGTGCTGCTGATTGTGGTTCTTGTAGTACTATTGCTTGTGCTGCTGACTGTGATGCTTGAAGTGTTACTGCTTGTGCTGCTGAATGTGATGCTTGTAGTGCTACTACTTGTAGTGTTTCTGATTGTGCTGCTTATTGTTATGCTTGTAGCGCTACTGCTTGTGTTGCTGACTTTGGTGCTTGTAGTGCTGCAGTTTGTGCTGCTGACTGTGAGGCTTTTTGTGCTACTGCTCGTGAGGCTTACTGTTATGCATGTAGTGCTACTGCCTGTCCTGCTGACTGTGGTGCTTGTAGTGTTACTGCTTGTGCTGCTGACTATGGTGCTTGTAGAGCTTCTGCTTGTGCTGTAGACTGTGGTGCTTGTAGTGCTACTGCTTGTGGTACTGACTGTGGTGCTTGTTGTGTTACTGCTTGTGCTGCTGACTGTGATGTTTATACTGCTGCTGCTTGTGCTGCTGACTGTGATGCTTGTAGTTTTACTGTTTATGCTGGTGAATGTTATCATTGTAGTGTTACTGCTTGTGCTGCTGTCTGTTGTGCTTGTAGTGCTAATGCTTGTGCTGCTGACTGAGGTGCTTCTAGTGCTACTGCTTATGCTGCTGTCTGTGGTGCTTGTAGTGCTGCTGCTTGTGCTGCTGACTCTGATGCTCGTAGCGCTTCTGCATGTGCTGCTGACTGTGGTGCTTGTTTTGCTGCTGCTTGTGCTGCTGACTGTGTTGCTTGTAGTACTATTGCTTGGTTGACTGTGGAGCTTGAAGTGCTACTGCTTGTGGTGCTGACTGTGATGCTTGTAGTGTTACTGCTAGTGATGCTGACTGTGATTATTGCAGTGCTACTACTTGTGTTGCTGACTGTGGTGCTTGTAGTGCTACTGCTTGTGCTGCTGACTGTGGTGCTTGTAGTGTTACTGCCTGTGCTGTTGACTGTGATGCTTGTAGAGCTACTGCTTGTGCTGCTGACTGTGATGCTTGTAGTGTAACTGATTGTGCTGCTGACTGTGATGACTGTAGTGCTACTGCTTGTGCTGCTGACTGTAATGCTTGTAGTGTTACTGCTAGTGATGCGGACTGTGATTATTATAGTGCTACTGCTTGTGCTCCTGACTGTGGTGCGTGTTGTGCTACTGTTTGTGCTGCTGACTGTGGTGCTTTTAGTCCTGCTGCTTGTACTGCTTACTGTGATGCTTGGAGTCTTGCTGCTTGTGCTGCTTACTGTGATGCTTGGAGTCTTGCTGCTTGTGCTGCTGACTGTGATGCTTGTAGTGCTACTGAATTTTCTGCTGACTGTGGTGCTTATAGTGCTACTGCTTGTGCTGTTTGCTGTGGTGCTTGTAGTGCTACTCTTTGTGCTGCTGACTGTGGTGCTTGTAGTGTTACTGCTTGTGCTGCTGACTGTAATGCTTGTAAACCTTCTGCTTGTGCTGCTGACTGTGGGGCTTGAGACCTTCTGCTTGTGCTGCTGACTGTGGTGCTTGTAGAGCTACTTCTTGTGATGTTGACTGTGGTGCTTGTAGAGCTGCTGCTTGTGCTGCTGACTGTGGTGCTTGTAGTGTTACTGCTAGTGCTGCTGACTGTGATTCTTGTAGTGCTGCTGCTTGTGCTGCTGTCTGTGATGTTTGTAGCTATACTGCGTGTGCTGCTGATTGTGGAGCTTGCGGTGTTACTGCTTGTGCTGCTGACAGTGGGGCTTGTAGTGTTACTGCTTGTGCTGCTGAATGTGATTCTTGTAGTGCTGCTGCTTGTGCTGCTGACTGTGATGTTTGTAGTGCTAATGCTTGTGCGGCTGACTGTGATGCTTGTAGTAATGCTGCTTGTGCTGCTGACTGTTGTGCTTGTAGTGTTTCAGCTTGTGCTTCTGACTATGATGCTTGTAGAGGTACTGCCTGTGATGCTGACTGTGGAGCTTGTAGTGCTGCTGCTTGTGCTGCTGACTTTGATGCTTGTAGAGCTACTGCATATGCTGCTGACTGTGGTGTTTGTAGTGCTGCTGTCTGTGGAGCTTGTAGTGCTACTGCTTATGCTGCTGACTGTGGTGCTTGTAGTGTTACTGATTGTCCTGCTGACTATGATGCTTGTAGTGCTGCTGCTTGTGCTGCTAACTGTGTTGATTGTAGTGCTACTGCTTATGCTGCTGACTGTGGTGCTTGTAGTGTTACTGATTGTCCTGCTGACTATGATGCTTGTAGTGCTGCTGCTTGTGCTGCTAACTGTGTTGATTGTAGTGCTACTGCTTATGCTGCTGACTGTTGTGCTTGTAGTTCTACTGCTTGTGCTGCTGACTTTGGTGCATATAGTGCTGCTGCTTGTTCTGCTGACTGTGATGGTTTTAGTACCAATGCTTGTGCTGCTGACTGTGGAGCTTGTAGTGCTACTGCTAGTGCTGCTGACTGTGGTGCTTGTAGTGTTACTGATTGTCCTGCTAACTATGATGTTTGTAGTGCTACCGCTTGTGCTGCTGACTGCAGTGCTTGTAGTGCTGCTGCTTGTGCTGCTGACTGTGGTGCTTGTAGTGCTACTGTTTGCTGCTGACTCTTGTGCTTGTAGTGTTACTGTTTGTGGAGCTGAGTGTGATGCTTGTAGTGCTATTGCTTCTGCTGCTGACTGTGTTGCTTGTATTGTTACTGCTTGTGCTGCTGGCTGTGTTGCTTGTAGAGCTACTGCTTGTGCTGCTGACTATGGTGCTTGTAGTGCTACTGCTTGTGCTGCTGACTGTGATGCTTGTAGTGCCACTGCTTATGCTGCTGACTATGGTGCTTGTTGAGCTTCTGCTTGTGCTGTTTTCTGTGATGCTTGTATAGCTTCTGCTTGTGCTGCTGACTGTGACGATTGTAGTATTACTGCTTGTGCTGCAGACTGTGGTGCTTGTAATGTTTCTGCTTGTTCTGCTGACTGTGATGCTTGTAGTGCTGCTCCTTGTGCTGCCGACTGTAATGCTTGTTGAGGTACTGCTTACGCTGCTGACTGTGGTGCTTGTAGTTTTACTGCTTGTGCTGCTGACTGTGGTGCTTGTAGTGTTACTGATTGTGCTGCTGACTGTGGTGCTTGTAGTACTGCAGACTTTTGTGCTGACTGTGGTGCTTGTAATGTTACTGCTTGTGTTACTGACTGTGATGGTTGTAGACCTACCGCTTGTGCTGCTGACTAGGGTTCTTGTAGTGTTACTGTTTGTGCTGCTGATTGTGATTCTTGAAATTTTACTGCTTGTGCTGCTGATTGTGATTCTTGAAATTTTACTGCTTGTGCTGCTGACTGTGATGCTTGTAGACCTTCTGCTTGTGCTGCTGACTGTGGTGCTTGTAGAGCTACTGCTTATGTTGTTTAATGTTTTGCTTGTAGTGTTACTGCTTATAGTGTTACTGCTTGTGCTGCTGTCTGTGGTGCTTGTAGAGCTGATGCTTGTGCTGCTGACTGTGATGCTTGTAGTGTTTCTGCTTGTGCTGCTGACTGTGGTGTTTCCAGTGCTACTGCTTGTGTTGCAGACTGTGGTGATTGTAGTGCTGCTGCTTGTGCTGCTGACTGTGATGCTTCTAGTGTTACTGCTTGTGCTGCAGACTGAGATGCTTGTAGAGCTACTGCTCGTGATGCTGAATGTGGTGCCAGTAGTTCTTCTGCTTGTGATGATGACTGTTACCTGGTTGATACCTGGTTGATGGGGTTCTGGGAGTTCTTCTACTCCCCAAGCCCGGCCCGAGGCCAGGCTTGACTTGTGAGAGTTTGGTCCACCAGGCTGTTGCTTGGAGCGGCCAGCAGGCCCACATACCCACCACAGCCCGGTTGGTCCGGCACTCCTTGGAGGGATAAATCTAGTTTCCTCTTGAAAATGTCCACGTTTGTTTCGGCAATATTTCTTATGCTTGCTTACTGTTATGTTAAATAAGAAAATAAATTTCTTATTTATGCTTACTGTGGGGCTTGTAGTATTACTGCTTGTGCTACTGACTGTGATGCTTGTAGAGCTACTGTTTTTACTGCTGTCTGTGATACTAATAATGTTACTGCTTGTGCTCCTGACTGTGATGCTTCTAGTGCTATTGCTTGTGCTGCTGACTGGGTTCTTTAGTTTACTGCTTGGGCTGCTGACTGGGGTTCTTTTAGTTTACTGCTTGGGCTGCTGACTGTGATGCCTTTAGAGCTACTGCTTGTGCTACTGACTGTTATGCTTGTAGTGTTACTGCTTGTGCTGCTGACTGTGATGATTGTTGTACTACTGCTTGTGCTGCTGAGTGTGGTGCTTGTAGTGCTACTGCTTGAGCTGCTGACTGTGGTGCTTGTAGTACTGTTGCTTGTGCTGCTGACTGTGATGCTTGTAGTGTTACTGTTTGTGCTGCTTGTAGTGTTACTGCTTGTGCTGCTGACTGTGATGTTTGTAGTGCTACTGCTTTGGCTGCTGACTGTGGTGCTTGTAGTGCTACTGCTTGTGCTGCTGACTGTGGTGCTTGAGGTGCTACTGCTTGTGCTGCTGACTGTGATGCTTGTAGTTTTACTGCTTGTGCTGCTGACTGTGATGCTTGTAGACCTTCGGTTTGTGCTGCTGACTGAGGTACTTGTAGAGCTACTACTTGTTCTGTTGACTGTGGTGCTTGTAGCGTTACTGCTTTTTCTGCTGACTGTGGTGCTTGTAGAGCTGCTGCTTTTGCTGCTGACTTTCATGCTTGTAGTGTTTCTGCTTGTGCTGCTGACTGTGATGCTTGTTATGCTACTGCTTGTGCTGCTGACTGCGGTGATTGTAGTGCTGCTGCTTGTGCTGTTGACTGTGATGCTTGTAGCGCTACTGCTTTGGCTGCTGACTGTGGTGCTTGTAGTGCTACTGCTTGTGCTGCTGACTGTGGTGCTTGAGGTGCTACTGCTTGTGCTGCAGACTGTGATGCATGTAGTGTTACTGCCTGTGCTGCTGACTGTGGTGCTTGTAGAGCTACAGCTTGTGCTGCTGACTGTGATGTTTTTAGTGTTACTTCATGTGCTGCTGATTATGATGATTGTAGTACTACTGCTTGTGGTGCTGACTGTGCTGCTTGTAGTGTTACTGCTTGTAGTTCTGACTGTGGTGCTTGTAGTGCTACTGCTTGTGGTGCTGACTGTGATGCTTGTAGTGTTACTGCTTGGGTTGCTGACTGTGATGCCTGCAGTGCTACTGCTTGTGCTGCTGACTGTGATGCTTGTAGTGCTACTGCTTGTGCTGCTGACTGTGGTGCTGACTGTGGTGCTTGTAGTGCTACTACTTGTGTTGCTGACTGTGGTGCTTGTAGTGCTACTGCTTGTGGTGCTGTCTGTGGTGCTTGTAGCGCTACTGCTTGTGCTGCTGACTGTGGTGCTTGTAGTGCTGCTGCTTGTGCTGCTGACTGTGGTGCTTATAGTGCTGCTGACTGTGGTGCTTGTAGTGCTGCTTCCTGTTGCAACTGTTAAAATAATTGCTAAATATTTTCTCTCCAGTTCATCATTTGCGTTATTCGAGCATAATATTTGTGTATTTATTTCTAAAGAATTTCCAAATGACTGCCTTCAACATTTACCTGTGAGTTCCAATCACTACTGTACCTGATACCCTTCTCAGTCTCATTCCTTGGACCAGGTACCTTCACCTCTAACTGTGTCTTGCCATGTACCTCTCTCGTCTCCTACCGTGGACCAGGTACCTGCCCCTCTAACAGTGTGGTACCTGGTACCCCTCTCATCTCCTACCATGGTCCAGGTACTGAACCTCTAACTGTCTGTAGCCTGGTACCTCATCTCCTACCATGGACCAGGTACCTGCACCTCTAACTGTGTGTTATCTGGTACCTTTCTTATCTCCTTCCATGGACCAGGTACCTGCACCTCTATATGTTGTCTGGTACCTCTCCCATCTTCTACCATGGTCGAAGTACCTGCACTTCTAACTGTGTGTTGTCTGGTACCTCTCTCATCTCCTACCATGGACCAGGAACCTGCACCTCCAACTGTGTGTTGCCTGGTACCTCTCTTATCTCCTACCAAGGTCCAGGTACCTGCACCTCTATGTGTTTCCTGGTACCTCTTTCATCTCCTACCATGGACCAGGTATATGCACATCTAACTGTGTGTTGCCTGGTACCTTTCTCATCTGCTACCATAGACAAGGTACCTGCATCTCTAACTGTGTGTTGCCTGGTATATCTCTCATCTCCTGCCATTGTACAAGTACCCGCACCTCTAACTATGCACCACTGTATGTATGTACTGCACCAAGGACCTTTCGCCATCTCCTACCATGGACCAGGTACCAGCTGCTGGTGGACGGGTACCAGGAAGACAGTACTATGGGGGACGTCCTTATAAGACATCACAACCTCAGTGGAATGAAGTTCTCTACCATCGACAGAGACAATGATCTCCTTCGAAGTAAGTTTGGTCTTCACAGATGACGTCTTGGGGCGGGGATATTGTCCACTATTAACAATATTTCCTGTAGGAAATGTTGTTTATTTTCTCCTTTAAGTGACCATTTGTATTATATAATAAAGTTACTGTTTTCTCTTGATGATTATATTAGTGCACGACGGGGATAATAACCTTGACAAACAAGTACGTACGTGTACACGTAACATACACGTTTGTGAGTACGTGTATGTTAGAGTTTGTGTGCCTGAGTGTGTGTGTGTGTGTGTACGTGTATGTTATGTGAACAGTCAGAGAGGTGGGTGAGGGTGAGGGAGTGGGTGAGGGCTCAGGGAGTGGGTGAGAGTGAGGGAGTGGGTGAGGGGTCAGGGAGTGGGTGAGAGTGAGGGAGTGGGTGAGGGAGTGAGGAGGGTCAGGGAGGGGTGGGTGAGGGTCGGGAGTGGGTGAGGGGTCAGGGAGTGGGTGAGAGTGAGGGAGTGGGTGAGGGTCAGGTTGTGGGTGAGGGTCAGGGAGTGGGTGAGGGGTCAGGGAGTGGGTGAGGGGGTCAGGGAAATGGGTGAGGGTCAGGGAGTGGGTAAGGGTTAGGGAGTGGGTGAGGGTCAGGGAGTGGGTGAGGGATCAGGGAGTGGGTGAGGGTCAGGGAGTGGGTGAGGGTCAGAGAGTGGGTGAGGGTGAGGGAGTGGGTGAGGGTGAGGGAGAGTGGGTGAGGGTCAGGAAGTGGGTGAGGGTTAGGGAGTGGATGAGGGTGAGGGGAGTGGGTGAGGGTCAGGGAGCGGGTGAGGGTGAGGGAGTGCGTGCGGTTCAGGAAGTGCGTGAGGTTCAGAGAGTGGGTGAGGGTGAGGGAGTGGGTAAGGGTCAGGGAGTGGGTGGGGATCAGGGGAGTGGATGAGGGGTCATGGAGTGGATGAGGGTAAGGGAGTGGGTGGGGGTCAGGAGTGAGTGAGGGGCCGGGAGTGGGTAAGGGTCAGGAAGTGGGTGAGGGTCAGGGAGTGGGATGAGGGTCAGGAAGTGGGTGGAAGTCAGGGGTTGGGTAAGGGTCAATGAGTAGGTGGGAGTTGGGGAGTGGGTAAGGGGTCAGGAGTGAGTGAGGGTCAGGGAGTAGGTAAGGGGTCAGGGAGTGGGTGTTGGTCAGGGAGTATGTGAGGGTCAATGAGGGTGAAGGTCAGAACTAGGTGAGGGTCAGGGAGTTCGTGAGGGTCAAGGAGTGGGTGGGGGGGTCAGGGTGTGGGTGAGGGTCAGGGAGTGGGTGAGGGTCAAGGAGTGGGTGGGGGTCAAGGTGTGGGTAAGGGTTAATGAGGGTGAAGGTCAGGGAGTGGGTGAGGGTCAGGGTGTTGGTGAGGATTCAGTGAATGGGTGATGGTCCGGGAGTGGGTGTGGATCAGGGGTGATTGTCAAGGAGTGGATGGGGGTGTGGGAAATCCTGACTCGTTTAAATCATTTAAATTAATATTATTTCAATAGCTTACGAAGGATCACCACTTTTTGAGGAAAAGTGGGAAAATTGAGTGGCAATCGGTTGTTATTAAATCCATGAAACTAGTGTCCTATGAACTAATGTTATATGCGAAAAAAATTAATACATCCCAAGCATGATTCTGGCGCTAGTTCTTCGCCAGATTAAGTAATATGTAAGTAATTAAACTGATTATATAAGAATATTAGAGGCAAATATACCTCAATATACTACAGTAATATAGTATATAATATATAATCAATGGGTTAGTAGATTTGATCTCATTAAGAGATCATTGAAGTACCTACAAGGTTATTTCTCCACAACAATTAACAGCTTAGCTGTAAAATTAAGAGAGATGAAATCAGTTGCCACACTCCACTGACGACGTCTTGCGTCAGACAAATTGTTGCACGTGAAGGTGGGAAAGCCTAGCACCTCGGTTGACGTGACCCGGGAGCTGAAATGCAATTACAATGTAGAAAGCTTCTACGTATAGAGCTACAGAAAAAACTAATACTGCGGAATTCTTCCACAAGAAATATGATTGATATCTGACACTGCAGAATTCTTCTCTGCAGACATTAATGAACATAAATTCCTAAAATAATTACGGAATATTGCTAGAGAGGAGACGTACTGGATTTTTGTTGTAATTTCTCAGCCTAACGACAACTGTGTAAGTGTAATATGTGCGCACTGTAATACAAATAGAATACTTAGTTGCCGGGCCAAGTGTCCTTGATTAAGAACGATCAAGGTCCCTCATCTTCAGCTGACATAACAAGACGTCAATTGTGGGTTGTGTTGAGTAATGATTAGTTCCTTGGACACTGCCGTGATGTGCCGAAAAAAACGTGGCACCGCTCTCGTGGCTGTAGGAGCGAAAATTAAAGACACTAACAAGGTCGAGACGTTGCTCTCTGTTTGCACGTTGCTAACACGCTGCTAATATGGCGTAGTCCACACAAGGTGGCCTCTCCTTCCTCCCATCTGGCTCGGATACGCATGCGTAGAGAACCCTCAAGTGATCTCGAGCCCAAAGTATTATATTATTGGTAATTAATTTGGAAAGTAAGGAATCGTGACAAGTATGATGTCACTAATAATTATATTTAGGTACAATATATTTTTGCACAATGCAAGTCAGCATATAAGACTGCATAAGAAATATTATATGAACTGCTTACTTTGCAATATTTTCCACTGTAGTTGTTAATACACCTAAATGGACAAATTCAGTAAGCAATAATATGCTATATAAATAATCAACTAAATAAACGATTATCCTCAGTAAAGGCAAATAAATAGCTGGACTCGGTTTAGATTCAACTAAATGTGGTAAGGGTCAGGGAGAGGGTGAGGGTCAGAGAGAGTGAGAGGGTCAGGGAGTGGGTGAGGGTCAGAGAGACTGAGAGGGTCAGGGAGTGGGTTGAGGGTTTTGCGAGTGGGTAGGGATCAGGGAGAAGGTGGGAGTCAAGGAGTAGGCGGGGGATCAGGGAGTAGGAAATGGTCAGGAGTGGGTGGGATTTAGGGAGTGGGTGAGGGTCAGGGAGTAGGTGAGAGGACAGGGAGTTT